AGTGACTTTGCACATGAGGAAAATAAAAGAATATCAGGACGAAGCTAGGCAACTCAAGCGTAAAGGAAAGCAGGTATGCAATACTGATATCAAATGAACCATGATTGATTGACAAGACCGTTATTACATAAATGCACGTATACAAACGCTTGTTACGAATTTAATTTCTCCAGGTTACACCCTGGGTAGCAGAAAATACTATATCCCATCTCAACAAGTTAAAACTAGGTACAGTAATTATCGTGAGCAATGCTGTAAACGGAGATTGGTTCGATTGCCAGGTAAACTTCAAATCGCACAGTTCAACCGTCTAGACATGCTCAGTCAAGCTGGTACGCTCTCGGGGAATTATAGATTGTCAGAGCTGTAATTTGCATGTGTCTGCAGGTATTCCTTACGGGCATGCTGCGAAGTGCTTTGTGCACATTGCTAAAGCATCTATCGTGAATAATATCGCAAGTGATTATAACCTGAACAATAAATATTGGTATTCGCGAGTGTTTGGGGTAAAAAATTACATCGTGCAAAACAGTTTCACGGGACAATCGATGTCCTTTGACTTTGAAAATATGGAGCAACATTTACTTCTTCCCTGTTTTACTCCGCGACCAGCGGGTTGCTCGAAGAAACGGTACGAAAAGTCATCTCGTAGGTAAGTATTTATGTTTTGATACATTTTAATTAAAAAAAATACTTTGTTCTTTCAAAGACCAAGATGTAAAACACCTTTCGATCAAGTACATAAGAAGACTATAAACACCTTTTCCACTATGATTGTACCAGGAATCAAGTACTTAAGAAGACTATAACGTGCTCGAAGTGTGGAGAAGCTGGCCATAACATCAACACCTGCGATGGCGAGTTTGTAGTTTATTGTTTGATTCGATTCTGCGCGTGCTCGTCAGTCTCTATAGCGAGTCTCTTTTGTGTAATCATTTGTGACTTTCTCGCTTATATTTTCTTTTACTCTCTTACAGCGAAAATTCGTATCAACTAAAGAATCACGAAAG